GAGCTGCCAATTCAGAAGTCAGGGTGGCTCATTAGAATAGCATCCAAGCAGTAATGATTCGAGAGGTAATGATACGAGCCTTAGGGTTTTTGTCGTGCATAAGCTTCATTGCCTCAACAGATGCCTGACACACAGCAGGGTTGTTTTCATACCCCAGCCCAAGAAGAACTCTCCATTGGAAGCAAGGTGCAGGTAGATGGCATAAAAAAGGTTATCGAGGATAGGCCATGAGCACTTTTTGTTTGTTTGTTTAACACTGTATAACATCAAACCAAATTTGGGGTAACTGAGTCAGAACTTTAATTCCCCCCTCATAATCCTAATCTGTTACCCCTAGGTAACTCTGTAGTCTCCACAGGGTCTGGTTGTCTTTCTCCTAAAATAAGGCGGACCGTGCCTGTGCCAGTAGGGGTGGGTTTGGGGGGCCATGTTGGAGCTTAGTTTAAGACATGAGGAAGAAGGAGGTGATTGATGCTGTACTTGGGTCGCTGAGGGTCATCGGTCTGCGCGGTTGGTTCAAGGGGCCCCACACGGTGACAGCCCTTGTAGTTTGATGGGGTAGGGCAGGCTGCATTTTCCGTTTCCCGGCCCCTGCCCAAGCCCACCCTGTGCATCAGTCTGTGAAACTGCTGTACATGTACTTCCAGTTTATTGTTTCACAAGATGGAGAAAAAAAACGTAAGAATCTTTTTTAAACCCCTGTACCTGAGGAGTTGGAATTTGTAATCTCAAGGCATTATTTTCCTCCTTGAAATCAAGTGTCACCACTAGCCCAGATACCTAGTTTGTGGTCTTATTTCATACTTGACCTCACAGACTCCTAGGCAAGAGGTCTTGATGTGTTTGTTTGTTATTTTTAACATTTCTGAAGTAACGTATCTTATAAGTAAGAATAATTAAGTTTTTTATTTCTCGACAGCCTTTTTATTTAATGGTAAATGCACTGATTAAATTACAACAAAGGACATCTCTATTAGATACAAATCATTATCTTCTCTCTACAAAGTCCTTGTTCAAGTGTGGGAGTGTCTCTGTGTGTCTGTGTTTGTTTGTGTGTCTCTATGTGAGTATTTGTGCTCGTGTATGTGTGTGTCATGTGTCTGTGTGTACATGTTTACATATGTGTGTGGGGTGTGTGTTAGTGGCCATCTGTGTTGTTGTGTGAGTATATATGTGTGTGTTAATGGACTGCTGTGTTATGTATGTGTGCATGTGTGTTGTGTGTGCACGTATGTGTTAGAGGATGTCTGTGTTATATGTGTGTGTGTTTGTGGTGTGTGTGTCAGTGATGTCTGTGGCAGTGAACAAAATATGCTTTGTTTATTTTCCTTTTCCATATGATCAGTGATGTGTGATGGGAAATGTACTTAGTCTCCTTCATTTTTTCAGTTGTTTTTATCTTCCTGTAATACTTCTTTCCTGGATATTTTACAGGAAAAAAATTAAATTATGTTCATAAATTTGAAAATTTTGAATCCTGTAAGGTGTTTTTTTCCCTAGTGAGTCCTGAGGTGGTTTGTGACTATGTTGGAGACTTGCAACATGGCAGCTCTTTAAAAATCCACAATCTATCTACTTTCATTCAATCAAATTCTTATTTACTTTCATTTTTTTATTCGTTTGCTTCAAAGAAGCAAAAATTGTGTTGGAATTATTTACAAATGTAGCACTATCATTAAAAATGTGTAACCTAATCTATTAATATATACAATTAAAGACCAACATCTAAAGGAGAAATTTCTTTTTATATATATAATTTTTATTTATTACAATTTATTCACTTTTTATCCCAGCTGTAGCCCCCATCAGGATTGGCTGCATTGTCTTCCTCTGTGGCCTGGTAAGGCTGCTCCCCGCTCAAGGGGAGGTGATCAAAGAGCCAGCCACTGAATTCATGTCAGAGACAGCTCCTGTTCCCCTTACTAGGTAATCCACTTGGACACTGAGCTGTCATGGGCTACATCTGTGCAGAGGTTCTAGGTTATCTCCATGTATGGTCCTTGGTTGGAGTATCAGTCTCAGAAAAGACCCCTGGTGCCCAGATTTTTTGGTTCTGTTGCTCTTCTTATGGAGCTCCTGTCCCCTCCAGGTCTTTCTATCTCCTAAAGGGGGAATTTCTTGATACTATGTAGTTACTGATAACATACAGAATAACTAAGAACACAACACATGTAGCTCAACCTTTAAGTTTATTTATGTTAGTTAATGATCCACCATCATCTTTCATTTATTTATTACATTAAGTGACTCTATATACCTACATACCTATGTCACTCAGTTTTGAGTTCCAAATCCACTCTTCAGTATCTGTTGTGATACTGGGGCTGGAACTCCAGAGTCCTGTGTCTGCATTGCCAGGTTTCCTGTTGGTCTCTGAGGTTAGGGGGTGTGCAGTTAGGGAGTTGTGGGAGGAAATATTCCACTTCTGTTGTTTGCTCCCCTATCACCATAGCAACACGGCAGCAGCGGCAGCAGCTGAAGCTAGTTTGTATTTGTTCTAATATTTATGGACCAGCTTTACCATGGCCTTTGAGTGTCTCCAGCACCAGTCAGTTGGCATCGATGCCTGTGCTCACAGATTTACTCTTAGTTTCACAGAGTTTCTTCTGGGCAACCAAAGACACCAGCAGTAGAAAAAAGCAAAGTTCCTTCCCAGCTGGTCAGCACTTCAAGTCCTTGGGACCTTTTCTAATGTGTTCTTTTAAAGTGATTCTAACCATGGATCTCTGTTTTTGCAGTTGGTACCTGTTTTTGCAGTGAATTCGTGGTGTTCTGAGGTTTATTTAAACTAACTTGCAGTAGGTGAACTTGCTGTTCTCAACTTTCTTTGCAAATTACAGCTAAGCCGAAAAACAAATTAAGTCAAAGTTAACAGGCTCTACTTAATTTTGTTTAATCTTAGTGTTACTGAAGAATTACAAAGGGAGGAAGAAGAAAGGGACCAAGGAGAAACTCAAAGCATTTCCTTTAAAATTGGGAACAAACCAAGCATGGACCCCTTCCCCCTATTTAATAAAGTGCTGGAAGTCTTACCTAGCTCAATAAGACAAGTGAAGGCAGTAAAGAGGATACAAAGAAAGAGGCAAAGTATCCTTATTTTCAGATAATATGATTTTCTACATAAAACACCCTAAAGAGCACACAAGAAATACCCCACACCTGATCAACACATTAAGAAAAGCAGAAGATTCAACTATAACACTAAAAATAGACAAATGACAAACATACCAGGAAAGAAGCCAACAGAACAGTTACGTTTACAACAGCCTTTACAAATCATGAAATAAATATAACTAAGGAAGTAAAAGACTTGTGCAGTAAAAACTTTAAGACACTGAAAAAACAAAAAACAAAAAACATTGACGATTATACCAGGACATGGAAAGAGCTCCCATGCTCATGGATTGGCAGGATTAATACTATAAAAACAGCCATCCTACAAAAGGCAATCTATGGATTTAATGCAATTCCTACCAAAATTCAAACGCAATTCTCTATAGAAAAAGCCTCCCGTGTTACATGATAGCCAGAATCCTAACCAGTAAAAGGATGGCTGGAGGCATCTCCACCCCAGATTTCAAGTTATGCTCAGGATATACCCGAAGGACTCCATCTCCCATTTCTTGGTTTGCTTTCTACTGGTGTGATAAAACATCTTGACCAAAAGCAACTTGAGAAGGAAAGTGTTTCTCCTCACAGACTAACGTCTTTTATGAAGGGAATGAAGTGCACAAACTCAGAGTAGGAGCCTGGAGGCAGGAACTAAAGTCAAGGCCATAGATAAATGCTGCTTAGTCCCCATGGCTTGCTCAGCATGATTCCTTATAAACCTTGGAATGTCCACCCAGAGTGCACCATTTCCAGTGAACTAGACCCTTTCACATCAATTATAGATCAAGAAAATGCCCTAGAGATTTGTCTACAACCTGGTATATGCATTTTTCCAATAGATATTCCTATTCCCGGAAAAGTCTAGCTTATGTCAAGTTGACAAATATTCATCCAAGACAACGGACCCCTTCTCATATTAAACATTGACATACTAGAACACTATTAACAATCCATAAGCTTTCCTTTTTTGTTTATCCCAAGGTCTCAGGGTAATATCAATGTCAAAATAAGACATGGTATAACTTTTGAAGTCCCACAGTGTTTAAAAGTTCAGTCTCTTTAAAATACCCAAAGTCTCTTTAAAATCCCAAAGTTTGGGCTCCTTTAAAATCACAAGTGAGGTACATATTTCTTATTCCAAGAGTGAAGAATCAGGCACAGTCAGAACAAAATCAAAGCAAAACCAGTTTTAACAGTGGAAATTAAATACTGTAGCTCAGAGCCCTACATCTGGAGTTGACTCACATCTTGGCCTGGGCAGCTCTACTTCTCTGGCTTTGCCGTCCACAGCACAGATAGCTCTGTTCATTTATCTAATAACATATTACTATTAACATAGTCAATGAGCACAACACCAAGTTAAAACACTATCCAAGTTTTAAAAGAGAAAGTTTTCAAAAAAGAGGCATACTGATAGCCAAAATATTGGTAAAAGTGATTAAAACCATTAATTATGAGGAAAATACACATCAAAATCACAGTGAGCTTTTTCTTCTCTGAAGATACAATGATAGTATCAAAAAGACAAAGGATGACACCTGTTGATAGGAGTGTGAAGGAAATGGAAATTTTATATAGTGTTGCTGCAGATACAAAGCAAGACAGCCACTGAAGAAAACAGAATGGACGTTCCTTATGAAGTAGAGGATGAAACTACCACCTAACCCAGCAGCTACATTACTGGCTATACATGCAAAATAAAGGAAATAATCTCGTCGAAACAGGTACAGGAACTCCCATGTTTATTACAGCAATGTTTGCAATAGCCAAGACACAGACTCAAAGTACCCATCAACAGATGAGCAACAGAAGAAAGAGTGACATTTGAACAGAATGGAATGGTTTTTTTATTGTAAAAAAAATTCTGACATTTGCAGCAATATGGATGAAACGACAAAACTTTATGTTAACTGAAATAAGACAGACATTGAACAAACACTGTAATTCACAAACACAAAATATTTCAAAAATTGGTATCTATGAGATAAAAGGTAGAACATCAGTTCTTACAGAGTGATAAGTGGAGAGGAAAAGGGATGGGCAGGGGTTAATAGTTACAATTACACAGGAAAATTATACTGTTCTGTCTCATAATAGGGTAGTTATAGCTAATAATAATTTGCTACATATTACTAAATAGCTAGAGTGGAGATTCTAAATATTCCTACCAGAAAAAAATAAATATTTGTGATAGATATGCTAATTACACCGATTTGATAATACAATATGTACACCCACTGAAGCCTTATACCACAACAGATGCTTAAAATTATTACAGATCAATTATAAATAAAACTTAAGGGCAGAGCCCCCACACCCTACAAAACAGAATTTATCGTCTCATTAAGGGGAATTAAAGACTCTTCACCCAAACTAAAACTTTCCTGTGTAAGATGAAATGAAAGGAGGAGACAAGTGAGAAGGAGAGTCAGTGCAGGCTGTGGACAGATGTGGCTGGAGACGAAACCGGAGAGAACCAGGAAATAGCCCAGCCTCGAGCAGGTGGCCCTATTCCACGTGCAGAAGGAAGAGAACGCCACCACCTTGACTCGTTTCTCTTAAGGGAGGGAAGGAACTCTTTATTTTCTTCCATTTCTTCTTTTCCCTCCCTTTTCTTTTCTTTCTTTCTTTCTTTCCTTCCTTCCTTCCTTCCTTCCTTCCTTCTTTCTTTTTCTTTCTTTCTTTCTTTCTTTCTTTCTTTCTTTCTTTCTTTCTTTCTTCATTTCCTCAGTTTTCTGTACAGGCCAGGTTTGTTTCAACCTCACTCTACAGTCCAGACTATCACCCCTCAACCCCAAATCATCATTCTCACACCCCAGCTTCTCTGGTACTGTGATTATTGAATATGCCATGACAACAGACAACAAACAAACCCATTGGTCACATCTATTGTTATGTGCTGGTCTCCTTTTGACAAAACTGTGAATGTGAGTTATCATGTTCCATCCTCACCACACCTGTGTGAGACAGTCAGGAAGTGTCATGGTCCCAGAACACAGAGGACCTAGTGACAGCGGCAGAGCTGATATCCAGGTCCACGCCTTCTGTATCCTAATCCGGGACACCTTCCACTTTGAGATGAACCGAGCTTAGGGTACTGAGCAAAGCAGTCTCCTTGCTTACAACGGTTGACGGTTCTTTAGACTTGAGACCTCGTGTCTGTGCTCAGGGAGCAAACACACCTAAGTCTGGGTTAGAATCGGCATCAGAAGGATGAAAACAGAACAAGAATGCCTTGAACGAGGGTTGCTGCTTGATTACTACTGGACAAGGTTGGAGAGTCGAACTTCGAAGCAGCAAAGTCTAGAAGCTTTTCAGAGGATCTTGTCATCTAACAACTTGTTGATTCCTTCACAAATCCTCTTGAGATTGGGCCTGCAGTTCCCATGAGGGCCATAGAGCGTGGAAAGGAATTCCACATCAGCGAAGTAGTTGAAGACATGGTTTATGCGTCCGTGGGTTCTGGGTGTCAAGTGTCGCCGCACCAGTTCATGTACCAGGTCCTTGCACTCATGCAGAAGCTTAGAGAGCACATTTGTGTCAAAGGTGTACTCGACTTCGTAGAAGCTGACCATGGTCATGGCGGTCTGGTTCAGTTTCTTCCGGAGTTTCTCCACCACTATAACCTCCTCTGGGCTGAACTGCTTGTTCCGGTAGAGAATACCGATTTTGATTGCCACCTTGATCAAATCTTTCATGATCTTGTGGGCCTCCTTCTTGCTATGTGTGTGTTCTTCCGTGACTTTGTACAGCTCATCAAAGATCTCATTGCTGGTGTCGTCAATCAGCATGTTGGCCACAGTTTTGCTGGCTATCTTGCTCAGGATCTTCTTCTGGGCTTGAAGGGCAAGACTCTTTGAACTGAACACATTAGGACCTGCGGAAAAGAAACGCAGAAATATGAGAACCGTTTCATCTTTTAAAGGAAAACGCATTAGGTTGAACGTAGATCCTTAGACCAAAAACTCACATCTGTATCTACAACTGCCTAATTCCCAAGTGCTTAGATGACGGGCGTGTGATGTCACTGTGCCCTGCTCAGCACGTTTTTATTAACCTTAAATTGCATTTATGCGTGTCTGCATCTCTCTCTATCAGTTATGATGCGTACATGTGTGTGGTGGTCACAGGAGTGTTTGTGGGAGTCAGCTCTCTCCTTCTCCCCTGTGTGTCCCCAAGATTCAGTTTATCAGGTTTGGTGGCAAACACCTTCATAATAACCGAATCGGTCTCACCAGCCCTCACTGCTGTTCCTGGTGGCATAGAGAAAGACACTTTATGGGGAAGCAGACATGAACAACCTCCAAGCCACCAGCTGCCCTGCCCCCGACACATACACCTGTTTGTCCTAGACCTTTCTGAATGGCACCCGTGCTCCTCCCCCTGTGGGACTGTCTCCCTCTCCTCCAGACCAGATCTTACCATTTCGGACCGGCTCCACACGTGAGGCCTGTCCGACTTCACTGCTCACCAGAGATTTCCCTGTAGCTGCTGGCACCGGGGAAACGACTCAGTTTTGCCACTTATACAAGAGAGAATAGTGACCAGGATAGTGACCAGGATGCAGTCAATTTCATTTCCAGGGACATATGGACAGCTGATCATGAAAGCATTTCTTTTAACTGAGTCGCAGGCTCCATGTTTTATTGAGTCTAAGAAATATTGTTTTCGCTTTCAAGATCTCGGAAAGTGTGGCACATTGCAGATGCCAGGCAGCTGTTGTGCAGTGCTTGTCATTCCCTGAATGTACAACAACTTACACAATAGATGTCAGGAACTTGGGGAAAGTCAAAAGAACTCTCTTAGGAAATGTTACCTAACCAGTGCTTACTTGCTTGTTCTTTATTTACTTGTTTATTTTCATTTTTGAGACAAGTGTCTCACAGGGGGTGGGGATTCAGCTTAGTGGGAGAGCATTCCTTAGCAAGCACAAAGGTCTGGCATGGTCCATAGCACAAGACCAAAATAATAATAATAATAATAATCACAAAGACACAAGGTCTTACTATGTATCCCAGGTTGGTCTGGAACTTCCTATGTAGTATAAGCTAGACTTGAACTCAAGATCCTCCTGCCTCTGCCTTCCAGGAGTTGGGACTCTGTGTACCACTAAGCTCAGCTCACCAATGTTCTTGAGGACATAGGATGGTACTGTGTGGAAAACAGAACTACCAACAGATGAGAAATCAAACCCGCTTTATATGACCAGCACACTGAATAAGCTTAGGGAAACCACAGTCAACATGTTTTGTTCCTACCCACTGTGTGAATAAAGAGAGCATATGTACCCACTGTGTGAATAAAGACGAGCATATGTGTGTTTTTGAACCCTCCAACAACGTCCACATAAGCCCATCCTGGATTTGTTGAAATACTCTGTAAACTCTAAGCTGGTCCATGCAGCCCAGGCTGGCTTTGATCTTGCAATATTCCCTCTTTTACCTCCTTGGTGCTGGGCTTATAAGAATGGATCAACATATTTGGCTCACCCACACAGCTTTAATTTCACATAGGTTCTTAATGCTTGAAAGCACTCGATTAACCCAACATAATTATCCACAACCAAAGTGTTGAAGTAATTGAAATTTAAGGAAGATTCCGGTGACAATAAATCTCCAAGGATTGATAATTTTCTCCTAGCAGACACGGTGCTCATACCAAGTCTAGCCTGGGATGAACACTTATTGATCTTTTAAAAATAAAGTTTTATTAGAAACACATCTCTAAATGACATATAGATTAGTGGGTTAAGGTACTTTGATTAAAAGACATATCATCAATGTGAGTTTCAGACTGGCTGTTTGTCTGGGAAGGTTCTCCATCCCAGAGCTACAAATTCCGTTAAAGTTCTCCCTAAGAGGAAATACCATGATTGAACATCCGAAAGAAGGAAGATCACCATGCCTTGGCCTCATGTCTTCCCAGGCAAATGAATTTGTATAAAGTCTGCACAGAGAGGATGTATAGAAATCAGAAAGGGAATTTGTATCTGGAAGTCTGTTCCTTCAAAACTGTCTTTGAGCTGGGGAGGTGATGCATTCTTGCACTAAAGAGGAGGAGTACAAGTTTGAGGCCATCCTAGGCTGTTGAGAAGCTTCAAAATAAGATGAAAAAAATCAGGCTTAGAGATGGCTCAGCAGTCAACAGCACAGTAGGACTGCTCTTGCAGAGTTCAGTTTCCAGGACCCAAAGCAGGCAGCTCACAACTGTCCATAACTCTGTCTTCTGGTCCTTGTGGGCACCTTTACTGGTATGCATATATACACATACAGACAGATGACAGACAGACAGACAATTTAAAATAAAATAAATAGTTTTTTAGGCAAAAATTATGTGCCTTGTGAAGATAAAGAAAGAGTCCCCTGATTTTTGAAGAACACTGGATATTGCACAAAATGAAATGGATTGTCTTCTGTGAGGCTTAATAAATACATTGAGGTATTCTATCAATTCCAAGAGAAAAAAGAGATGAATGGCAGAAAAATGCCTAGTCCCACCATGTTGTCCACGTACCAGAGCTTGGACCAGATGCTATCTTACATGACAAAACAGATGTTGTTAGAGGTCTTGAAATAGAGGGATTCTGTTGTTTTATCCCCAGGCCCATGGAATGATGTGTCGTTGTAAGGGAAGGATGGGGGAGAAGGGAGCAAAAGAGAGAGTGGTTTGAGAAGGCTGGGGAGTGGGTGACATGTCTGCTGGCTTTGCAGATGGGGGATGAGGACAGGAGCCTAGGCATCGGTGGCCTGTGGAAACTGAAAACTTGGGATGAAGTGTTCTTCCCTCCATGTTCTGAAACCCCTATAAATAGACTTCAGACTTCTGAGTTCCAGAAACACAGAGACAAACTCAGCATTGTAGGCCTCTGCATTTATGGTGAATTGTGATGGCAGCAGTAAGTTGATTTGGGTGGGCAGAATGAGGTCTTGCACTTACTTATTTTCACCATGATACCAAGCTCCTAGGTGTTTTCTCTAATGCTTCTGGCCATCTCTCTTGAATAATTTTTTTTTTCTGCAAATAAACAGGATTTACAAACTTCTACTCTTAGAACTCAAGAGTATGAACAACAACAACAAAAAAAAAACCAAACAAACAACAACAACAACAAAAAAAAAGCAGAAAACCGCATCACCAAGTAGACTGCCACATGAGCACAGACTTTTGCGTTCTAAGCGATTATGGATGTGCCCCAACAGAAATGCCTTATACAATCCATCCTGTCAGATGCCCAGAAAAGAAGGCCCTGCAGTAACTTTAATGAGTTTGAGATGACTATGTATTTTTGCTCTTGATGATTCACCACTTCAGATATTGTCAAGGCTTTAAGACGTCCCGGAGAAGAGGTGAGCCATGGTTTTGTTTATCACCCAGCTAGAAACTTACTAGGCTCACACGCAAACATGTATGTGCATATAAGTATGCATGGCACACCCTGTGGTGTGCTTTACAGGTCACCGTGGAAAGGGTTAATAGAAGTAAAATAGAGGCAATCTGATGAACAGAACATTTTTACAACTCCCAGAGTTCTGTCTGAGAGAGGATACACACTGTTGCTAATGATTTAAGGGAGTGTGGGCCTCCCTGTAGGATGCAGTCCTGTTCAAAAATGCTTTATGCATGAAGATCCTGGGCTTTTTCTATTTGTACTTGTGTATTAGCATCCTATAGAGGAACCATGTTGGTAATATACCAGGAAGAGACTGAAGGTTAGAAGGAAGAACAAGAGTTAAGTTTTGAGACCCAAGGTCAGGGGTAAGCTGATTAGAAAAGTAAGCTTCACTGTGGCTGTGATGAATGCCAAACTATCCAAAATAGGTATTGGTACAACTTTATTTTTCATTCCTATATACAAGCCTTAGGAAAGTGTTTCTGGATAGAGATAATTTTCTTAATTATCTCTGAACAAAAGCCCCATTATCTAGCCATGAAGGGTAAGGGCTAATTTAGGATGCCTCAGGATTTCTGACTATAGTCTGACAGTGGGAATGAAAAGTCTAGAGAGAGAGAACACCAAAGATGCCCTAAGCGGACACTTCAATGCATGGAAAAGGTCCCGGGCCTCACGGAGCAACTGCTTTAAAAGCACTGTTCACTCAGAGCACAAGTTATGCTTCCATCTTTCTAGAAAATGCAAAGCTCTCCCAGATGGTGAAATGTCATGCCAATAGTGACAAACAGCAGGAAAGTCTTACCAAGCTTGGTGAGTGGGCAGGAAATAGATAGAGGAGCCTAGTGAGAATGAGGTAATAAACTTCGGGAGAGACGAAGCAAATTATTGATTATAAAAGACACCAGGCACTGAGCTGTCACCAGAGCCCAGGAAAGTGCTCTTGTGCGTCACCAGAATTTGAGGGTGGAAGGGCCAGAGCACAGCTATTCTGCCTTCCTTTTCCTCAGAGGACTCTAAGTCTCTACCTTTGTCACTTCTCTAAACAGTGAGGGGAAAACTTGCATATTAAATGCAGGGAGACATATTAAAATTATGCAACAGAGATTTGTTTTGTAACAGCAAGCAAACAGCATCAGTTCGTTTCTATTGACAGTTCAAGATGACAGCCAGGAAGAGAATTGACTGCAAAATGTTAAGTAGAAGTTAAAAGTGGACATGGTATCCAGATGGAAACAATGCATGCTGTTTGGTGAGACCATCTGTCAAGGCAGGGAATCAAGTGTACAAGGAGAGTGGGTGGCAAGATGATGGCCATGGAGAAGGTAGGACTCAGGCAGAGGAACTCACAAGAGTTCATGGTTTTGGCTTCCAGACACTTGCATTTTCAGTCCAGGGAAGAGGGGACTTCGAGGTGTTTTGAGCAGGACAGGCTCACAAACAACCCTAAACTTCAACTTCCTTCCACAGTGAATTAAAAAAGTGTCTTTCTGCGAGACGCAAAACCAAAGGCTGAGGACTATGCTCTTAGGATGCAAGCACATATGAGTGGTCTAAGAGATGGCAGAGTCGATGACTGTTTTTCTCTTGGCAAGAGCTCCTCCACAGACACATTTTCAAGGTTCCAGATCTAACGTGGTCTGATAAGAAGTTAGCCATGAAGCCAGGCATGATGGAACACATCAGTAATTTTATCGCCAGCAGGCAGAGGGAGGAGGACTGCTGTGGGTTTGAGGAGAGGAGGGGAGAGGTTGAGGAGAGAGAATAGCATGGGGTTTTGAAACCTCAAAGCCAGTGACACCTCTTTAATAAAGCCACACCCCCAGTCCTTCTCCAGAACGGTTCCACCAACTGTGATCAAGCATCCAAATATATGAGCCTATAGGACCCCTTTTCATTCAAACAGCCACAGGAAGCACCGCCGTTCTCCGAAGGAGGCTGCACAAAGGCAAGGGATGGAGGCTCTGTCCAGAGCCTTGTGGACTTGGGTCCTGGAGCTGTGCTGGTCACCAGCCACACATCTCTGAGTGAGCTGCTAACACTCTTCTTAATCCACGAGCCGGAGCACTCAAGCCTTCCCTTGCAGAACTGTGAGGATTGA